CGAGCAGCTCGGTATACACTGGACAACGGAACTTTATTTAAAAGGGGATACTCCGTGTAATATCCCGATATTTTATCGGTATAAATCACGTTTAATTCCGATATAATAGTGTTATCGTCTATTATTTTCAGAATTAATAAAGTTCAGTCGGGATTACCGAAATGTATTTTCGGCGTACCGTTTACGTTCGAAATAATTTTGGTAATTAATTAATATGTTTAATTAATAATTAAACATAAAGTTACGTGATTAATCATTGATTAATCAAAGTCAATGTCCAAAGCCGTGCAAATATAGGCATTTTCCCTAAGTTATTCATATTAAGCCGTGGGTTTCCTTATGTTGAGGAAATGATTTTCCACCAATAAAATCAAGCAATTTGTCAAGATATGAGGGTGCATAGTCATCACAAAGTGCTTGAGACATGAACAAGTGTGAAGGGCTAGGAGAAGCCACGTCCCTCCATCGTCATTAAGGATCCCTCTTCGGTTTTGTATATTAAGAACCATTTGGACGAAATTTCCCCACTTTTTTCCTTTAGAACTCAGCAGCAAACAGCCCTTCAGCAGCCCTTAAGTTCCATCAATTTTTCCTAAAGTTTTCTGCCCAAAAAAATCACACGGCAATAAGGACACCGCACGGAGTACGCGCAGGGAAGGGAGACCACGCCTATTTTCCGATTTCGATCGTTCAAGCAGAGAAGGTAACCCCTTATTCAACTCATGTTTATGTTAATTAGGCTACCTCAAGGTTAAGTGTTCGGTTAATTGTCGGAATTTCAGATTAAACCGTGCATATAGGCGAGCATGTTTAACTAAGATTATGACCGAACAATCTTCGATTTCTCTCAGCAACTCTTGAACCATGATCGTTTATATGTCCACTTTAGTCTATTTCGTATTCAATACGGTCAGCTTTGTTGAAGAGATAGGGGATTTTGTTGATTAATTGGCCACGGCCGTCGCTCACGCCTATCGCGTGTAGCTTCGGGCGGCCGCGGTCCATGACCTTGTAAGTTTAGTATAAATCATGTTCTTCAGTGTGGTTTAGTCCTAAAATTGTTCAGATTAATATTCGTATTGAGATATTCTGAAGTTGTCGGTTAATAAGCTAGTGTGGCCGAGAGACGGCACATAGCCGTCGGCGGCGCACGGGCGTCCGCCGCGGCCTTTTTCCATACTCAGCGTGCATAAGTACGTGTTCAGGGCTTGTTTAATAAGTAAAGTCATGTTAAATCCAGTCAAGTTAAATTGGGCGAGATAATTGTTAGTTTGGTCAAGAGAGGGCCGAAGGCCGTAGGCCTCGCACGTAGCGAGCGCCACGGCCGAGCGTTAGGTCCAATCTTCAAGTTCAGTAATTTCATGTTAAATCCAATTTATTGTTCATGAGTGGTCAGATCATGTTAATTAAGTCAGTTTGGTCGGGTGAATTCGCCGGACGGTCGGCAAAGGGTCGACCGTGGTCGCGCTGCCGCACACAGCGGCAGCAGCGCCTCGGCCAGCGCCCAGCGTGCCAGACAGCGCGCCAGTGCAACG